GAAGATGGACACGAATGGGATGACTGAAAAGCTGAAGAAAACATTGAGTGAANNGATCGAGAATGCAGTCAAGGAGATTACTGAAAAGCTGAACAAAACAGTGATTGAAGAGATGGAGAAGGCAATCAAGGAGATTACTGAAAAGCTGAACAAAACAGTGATTGAAGAGATCGAGAAAGCAATGAAGGGGATGGCTGAAACGCTGAAGAAAACAGTGATTGAAGTGATCGAGAAAGCAAAGACGGAGATGGTTGAAAAGCTGAACAAAACAGTGATTGAAGAGATGGAGAAAGCAATGAAGGAGATGGTTGAAACACTGAAGAAAACAGTGAGTGAAGAGATGGAAAAAGCAATGAAGGAGATGGTTGAAACGCTGAAGAAAATATTGAGTGAAGAGATTAAGAAAGCATTCAAGGAGATTACTGAAAAGCTGAAGATTACATTGAGTGAAGGGATCGAGAAAGCAAAGAAGGAGGTGGAGATGGCTGAAAAGCTGAAGAAAACAGTGATTGATAAGATGGAGAAAGCAATGAAGGAGATGGCTGAAGAGATGGATGAGAAGCGCTGTGAGATAGAAGAATTAGAGGATTTGAATACAATCCTCCTCATAACAGTACGTGCAAGCAAGGATGAGATACACGAAGCACGAAAAGAGTTGATTAAGGTGTGTTTCATAATACAATTCATGCTCTTGACTGATGGTATATGGTTTGTGGGTTTTACATACAAGTCTGTTCCTATTAATTTCTGACAGGCATTGAGAGAGTCTTCGGGTGGCGAATCTTGCAAGATCGGTGTAAAGATGATGGGCGATCTTGATAAAAATGCGTCATGGCACCCATTCAAACGCGTGTGGACCGGAGACAATGTGAAGGTTCTGTTATACTCTCTGACTCTGTCTCGTTTTACAAGTCTTCATTATGGTTAGGATTGTTAAATGGTGTGGTTATGGTGTAGGAAGTGGTGGATGAAGAAGATGAGAAGTTTAGGAATCTGAGAGAAGAGTGGGGAGAAGAGGTGATGACAGCGCACGAGGAGCTTAACGATTTTAATGCAAGCGGCCGCTACTCAGTTCCGGCACTGTGGAATTATGAAGAAGGGAGAGAAGCCACACTCAAAGAAGGGATTGCGCACATGGCTAACCAGATCAATACGCTCAAACTCAAACGCACATGAGTGTTTGTGCTTCTGGTATCTGATTAAAACTAAAACTATCAATCTGACTTCTTTTGTTTTTCCTCAGTGTTTTTCATTTTTGTTGTATCTTGAATCTAAACTCATTGTATCCACCTTCTCTTTTCAAGTTCTCTGCTATATATTGCTATTAGTATACAACTATACACATCAATCTCTCCAATACGATCTCATCAATGGGCTTTAAAAAAACGTTTGGGCCTACACTTGGGCCTACAAGGCCGTAAAATACCCTCGGGGTTAGTGTTAATGTGCTAAATGTGAATTTATTATAGTTTATTTATCTATATTGATAAAAAAGTAGATATTAATGGTAATCGAGTGATCAGAAATCACATTTTCATGCTATTTTAATTTTCCCCCCTTTAAAGTAGTCAGTCTCTTCACATCTCTCTTTACTCTTCTCTACACGCCGCGAATCCTCGTAAATTTTTAGGGTCTCGTCTCGATTCTTCGTTTTCCTGTACGAATTTTTCCTTATGAACGTTTCTGATTTCTCAATTTCGACTCTCTAATGAATGATCTTCCTCGTGTTCTTTTTGTTTGCCAGTGAGAAGTTGATTTCTTCAGTGTTTCACATCCTTCTGCCATCGCCATTTTCGGTTTCTCAAGGTAATCGCTTCTCATTCTACATCACGCGAACTGTGTTTTGTAATTTCTAGGGTTTGATTATATGGGTTTCCTCTGAAATCTCTCAAACCTTTGTTGTGATCTGTCTCTTCGCCTTCGTTACTGAAGCTCATGATTTGTTCTCCGTTATCACTCGACTTGAACAATGTGGGTAGGCTCAGAAAGACAGAAACCCACCCTTGAGGAAATTTTTGTTTCAGCTTTTCTATGCTTTTGCTCTAAAATGTTGGGAATAAGCTTTGATAAACTATTATTTATCATGTGTCAACAATTCCTAAAATCTGGCGAAAATTTTGTTTGTTTTAGATATTTTATGTTGAGTTTTAAGTGGTTTGATACTTACACTCATTTTCGTTTACATTTTTTTTGTGAATAAATCTGTTGTAAACTCTGTGGTACAGGCCACCTACTAAGATGGATAGAAGTTCTGATGACGAGTCAGAGGTCAGTGAGTCTGAGATTGAGGTCTATTCTGAGAAACCTTACGAGCAACTCAAGAAAGGTTTGCACAAGGTTAAGGTGAAGGATGGCATATTCAGGTGCCCTTTTTGCTCAGGGAAGAAGAAGCAACATTACAAGTACAAGGAGCTGCTTGCTCATGCGTCTGGTGTTGCTAAAGGATCTGCGAGCAGAAATGCTAAACAAAAGGCTAATCACTTGGCTTTGGCCAAGTACATGAACAACGAGCTTGCTGGTGATGCTGAAGTCCCACTACGAATTACCGCGTCCTCGTCAAAGCAGCCTCAAGAAGATGCGAGTGATATTTATGTCTGGCCTTGGATGGGGATTGTCATCAATCCATTGAGAAGCAATGATGATAAGAATTTGCTCCTTGGTTCAGCTTATTGGTTGAAGAAGCTCGCTAGATTTGAGCCTCTTGAGGTTAAAACCCTATGGATTGAGCAGGATTCGTTAGTTGCCGTCATTGCTAAGTTTAACAAGCGTATGAGTGGGTTCAAGAGTGTCACAGAGCTTGAGAAGGAATATGAGATTAAGCGATGCGGCAAAAAAGACTGGAGTGATAAAACAGGAGGCTGGAGGTCCAAGAATTATGGTTGGTGCGCACGTGCAGATGACTACAACTCTCAAGGGTCGATAGCAGAGTACTTGTCCAGTGAAGGGAAACTGAGAAGTTTCTCTGAAATCTCCAAAGAGGAAGCGCAGAATACGAATCTTGTGGTGGAAGAGCTAGCAAATAAAATTGCTATGACGAATGAGGATCTGAACAAGGTCCAGTACAAGTACAACGAGAAGGCGATCTCTCTGCACAAGGTTCTCTTAGAGAAAGAAGAGCTTGACCGAGCTTATAAAGAAGGTTTGTTCTGAAACTAATTGCTTATATGTCGCCTTGGCTTTATCCTGAGTTTAGTTTCGTTACTCGTTTCTGTATTTTTTTTCTCCAGAAACAAAAAGGATGCAGGAGTTGTCGCGGCGTAATGTCAACAGAATCTTAGAAGAAAAAGATAGGCTGAGCAATGAACTGGAGTCTAAAATGACAAAACTGAAAAATTGGTCCAAAGAATTGGACAAGAAGGAAGCACTAACTGAACTGGAGAGACAAAAGCTTGATGAAGAAAAGAAGAAGGTAATATTTAGTGATCATACTATACTTATGCGTTTATGTTTAACAGGGTTCTGATGATCTTTTTGTTTACTCTTGTTATGGCAGAACGATGCCTTGAACTGCTCCCTCCAATTAGCTACAGTGGAGCAGAAAAATACAGATGATCGTGTCTTGAGACTTGTGGAAGAACACAAGGTATGTACATGTCAATAAAAAACAAAAACATCCCTCGAATTTTTTTTTGAAGGTTGAAACTCTCTTCTTTCTATACTCCAGAGGCAGAAAGAGGAGACTTTGAACAAGATCCTTCAGCTTGAGAAGGACTTAAACAACAAGCAGAAACTTCAAATGGAGATTCAAGAGCTGACAGGAAAGCTGCAAGTCATGAAGCATGGGGAGGATGAAGATGACGAGGACGTTAAGAAGAGAATGAAGGATATGATCGAAGAGCTGGAGGAGAAGCGTTCTGAGTTACAAGATATGGAGGAGATGAACTCGGCACTCATGATAAAAGAACGTGAAAGCAATGATGAGATACAAGAAGCTCGCGGAGAATTGATTACGGTATATATTTTTAATGCTTCCATGTTCTTGGGTACTGGTATAATATGTGCGAGTTAAATGTTGGTGATGATGCAGTCAAGACTCAAACGCTATTTGGTTGAGAAATCTGTATACTGATGGTGTATTCATGGGTGATTTCCCAACTGCTTTAGGATTCTATGATCAAAAAGCTTCACAGATACTTGCCATTACAGTCCAGCATTTGTTAATAGTTCCAATGATTAATTGTTTGCATGTATTGGGTTTTTCAGGGATTGAGAGATATGTTGAATGATCGTACCATCATCCAAGTAAAGCGGATGGGAGAACTAAATGAAAAGCCCTTCATGAAGGCGTGCAAGCAGAAATTCAGTGGCGAAGAAGCTGAGGTGCAGTATGCAATGCTTTGCTCGAAATGGCAGGAAAACCTCAAGGATTCAGCATGGTACCCATACAAACGCGTGGGGAATGAAGACAATATGAAGGTTTTCTTTCCCACTGTCTCTCCGTCCCGTTTTATGATTCTTCATTCTGGTGAACTAGTAGTAATGGTGTTGTTATATATAATGGATATGGTGCAGTTAGTGGTGGATGAAGAAGATGAGCAACTTAAGAATCTGAGAGAAGAGTGGGGAGAAGAGGTGATGAACGCAGTGAAGACAGCGCTTGAGGAGCTTAATGAGTATAATGCAAGTGGTCGCTACTCAGTTCCGGAACTGTGGAATTCCAAACGAGGAGGAAAAGCCACACTGAAAGAAGTGATCGAGTACATGACACAGCACATCAAAACTCTAACTGTCAAACGCAAACGAACCTAATAGGTACTCACTACTATCTTGTTCCTTAGTTTTGCAGCAAGCATTGCATTGTCTCCTCATTGATCTTTGGTCACGCAGAGTATATTAAAGCTTGACACTAAACCCCTATAGAGACTTATCTTTCATAACTGGCTCTATGCTTATTTTGATTTGAACTTTGTTAGCATTGCATCAATGGACTTGTAATAATGAAAATATAATTGAATCAAGTGGTGTTGTTCTGTTTTGCAGGAAGCAGATGGTCAAGGAAGAAAAATCTGGTCGTTCAGGACCTTATGTTTTGTTAAGTGTCGTGCCTTTCAGTTTCAGTGTTTCACTGTGACTTTTTTGTGTACTTAGCCACGGTTAATAAAACCACCTATCGTTAAATACTTATATCTAATTTGGTATGCCAATATTATTTTAGCAATAATACAGTAAACAAAATTTAATGACACAAAAAAAGAAGAAGAGAGATCCTAATTACAAAATTAGAATTTGACAGATAAAAGAAAAATTTCGGTG